CTACCGCTGTTTGGCCCTCAAGTCTTGGCCAGGTAGTGACTACTTCAGCCCCTGGTCTCTTGCATCCCTCAAATAACGTCGCTATAGGACAGCCGGGCTCAACGCCTGGCAGTGCAGGACACGCGGCTCTTTCTGGCAATCGAATCCTCCTCGGGGCTGCTTCAGATAATTGTGCGACTACGGCGACATCAGCAGTACCTACTGCCGCAACGATGACTGTCACAACTAACGCAGCTACCACTCCTATCGGTCACATGGCCCATCTTCAGCAACAACAGGTTCGATTAGCTTAATCTATATAATCAAGACATGTATCCCTTGTTAATTTCATTTACTGACTAATACTAAAGCCTTTTTACTCAACAGTTAGAGAAAAAGAGTTTTTTGCTAAACAATAACAGTCCTGGCAACTAAGTTACCTTACTCTCTCATCTTTCCTAATTTCTCTGGCATATATTTCTATTCTCAGAATAAGAGTCATTCACAACCATCCTAATTAACGAACCTACTCAGGTTAATTTGCATGACTCATCTACTAACACAATCATATGATTAGAAATCGCATGTATTTTCCTCCTCAGCTATAGCTCATACAGTAAAATAATCTAAATATTTTCTTGATCACATCCATCTAAAAATCCTTCCTTTATCGACCACTTTAAGCATGCTATAATTTACATATTGTGAATGTATCATGCTATTATTAAACCATATCGTTAGGATTTGGTTGAATGCTTACATTTAATGTTTATGTGAAGCTGGTCTTTGAGGCTATTACATTTACAAGATACTAAAATCTGTTAACATGGCCATTAAATGTCCACTGATTATTCTCCATACACAATCGCAATTTTTCGACCAGTACTTGAGTTATGGTACGCATTGATGGATGAAAGTGCTGGTTTCGACTTGATAAAAATGTAACTTCAGCTATTAATATGTTCATTAGCTTCTGATCACTTCATGGCTTTTGAGTAGAATAGACTATTACACTTAGTTCGATAATAAGGCCTCAGAGTTACTTCCTTCTTGATTAATTTTGAATAAATTTAAATGGATATTTCTAACGTAAAAGCTGGCAAATCAAGGGAAGATTTGATTTCGTTGCCAAATATGAGTTTAGATTCAGGATATATCGTTGGCCAATAGGAATTTTAAGTTCTGATATAGTCTCCTGAATTAAGGTAAGCAGTCTTGTTTTCATTATAACTTGTTTTTTTACATGATCCCCACGAACTATGACGGACTTTGATCTCGATCTAATCTTTCCATGCATCACTCCTAGCTGCATTTTAATCCAGGATTTTCCTGTCTACTCTGTTTCGATATAGTCATCAACAATGGACAACTTACCATTCCTTCCGTAAAACATTAATTAA